CTATAAACATAGAGCAAGGAAGAAAATTCAAGCAATCATTGCAATGATTCATGAAAAAAAATTGCTTTAATTACCAGGTCTTTTAGAGAGTGTGCTGTATCTCTCACCTCAGCTAGCCACATATGGAAGTAATGACTTGGACTAGGAATCAGTGTTTTGTATGATAACAGATAACAGCTGAAGTTTCAGTTTCCATCCATTTTAGGATTCTGGGCTGCACGCCTGCACAACCTTTGATTAAGTTGGAAATACGTGCTGTTTACATCAAAGGGCAGAGACTCTCAAGTGTAGGAATTCATATTCAGCAGCATTCACCAGAGCTGCCAGGAGCACTGGCATGACGCTCAGAACCTTGCTTGGCACGCAGTGATGAAGGAGGGTTTCAGAGTCAGGAGGGAGATTATGTGTTCAAATCAGAACTGATGCAGGGCATGCTCAGAACATGCCACCTGGAGAAACATCATCTGTGTCTGGGGCTCTTCCTTGGTCTGAAGCTGGTAATCGATCCTGACAGTGATTTCATTAGGGGACTGCCTGGCATACAGTCTATCCATTTTAATTGAAAGTTTGGTTTGTTTTCACTATTGACATGGAGATAAGATTCTTTCATACTGAAACAGTCCTGGAAGGGTGGGATAGACTGTCCAAATAAAGTGAAAACATTTACTCCTGAGTCAATCCATTCTGCTCACTTACTCATAGCCATTGAATTTACTATTGCTCTCCGAAGAACTCCCAAAGTGTCCCATACTCATGCCCAACTCTTGGTTTTGCTCATACTGTCCTTGCCAAGAAATACACATCTCTTTCTTTTATTCTTTTTTATAACTATGACAGAATTCAAGACATGCTATTTTAAAATATGACACCCTAGCATATTCAATATTTTAAGCTGAAGGAATTCGAGAAACAGCAGAAGCAGGAAGGTTATTCTCACCTTCCCCTCACCCTTATCCCCTGAAGCAGGTCATAGAACCTAGAAAGAATTTTCTGATCTTCCACTGAAGTAGGTAATTCCAGAAGTGCCCTTCCTATACATGGGAAATAGGAACCTCCTTATCTCTGAAAACACAGAGTCACAGAGAAGACACACACAGACACACACACAGGCTTTATATCGCTTAAAGCCCCAGGCCTTATTGGCTAATTGACTATAAATAGATTTCTATATAAGTAACAGAAGAATCTGAATAGATCTTGGTAATTTTTTACCACTTCAGTACCATTACATAATACCCCCTTGTCCAATTACATTTCTCCATGACTGTTCACTCTTTGTCAAACTTAACATAAAAATGCATAAGTTTCAGAGTATCTTTGTTCATTTCTGAAGGTTCACATGTTACATAAAACATGCTAAATAAATTTGTATGCTTTTCTCTTCTTAACCTGTCTTTGGTTATAGAGGCCATAGCCATGAACATAGGCTGGGTAAGGAAGAGATATTTTTCCTCTTCTACATCTACAATCCTTTTGAAGCCAAATCCTCTCTTAACCCACAGCCTTCTTTGCTTAATGCTCATTGATTCCTGGACTGGACATATAATGGAAGCTAGGGTGTTCAGATACCATGTATTTTTCCTCACCTAGAAACTTAAATACAAGCTTATAACACAATGAGATGACCACACTCCCCTATGGCTCATCAAGACCTCCAATAAATGCAAAGCAGACCTAGTCTTCATTCCTGGCTTTGACGCTCTATGTGCAAGTTACCTAGCATCTAACTGCCTCAGTTGTCTCCTTTCCAGTATGAGAGTAATGATAGAGTTTACCTCATATAGTCAATGTAAGCATTGTTAGATGAAATTGGATAATTCATAGAAAATATTTAACATTTCTCTTATTTGTATTAAGGTCCATTGCCCCATTTGGTTGCAAGTACCTTGAGTTCAAACACTCCTTTTCTTCTTTCAATCTCTGGTAGTTTTAAGCAGACAGCAGATTCTGGTAATTTCTTTGATATGCCTCATAAAATCATACTGAGTTTGTGTTATTTCTCAGTTTCAGAGTAATAAGAGCAGCGGAGAGGAAACCCAGGCCTTGATGGAAAAAAACAGTGACTTTGTTCTATTTGTTGGTGGTCGATCTGTGGTGAGAAGATGAAGAGTGGGCAGGGCTCAGCCCTCAGGGAGCAGTTGTGTGGTCACAGTCAAAAGTAGCACAGCTCTATCCTCCTCATGGGTGGATAAGCCTCCAGAAAGCATTCACTCAGAGGGAAGAAACAGGACAGAGAGAGCAACCAGGATAAAATCATCTTAGTTTCAAAGGCAAAGCTGACTGTGACATGAAGGTAGGACTTAAAGCCAGTGGTCTTTCAACTTTCCCCATGCTTATGACTGCATTTTGGTAATGTGCCTGTAATTAAGCTCCTGTTGGAATTTTTAAAAGGTTTCTTAAAATATGTTTAATTTCCCTTTTCATCTTCCAACTTAGAAGAAATGCTAATTATTCCAAGTTGGAAGATAAAATTAGAAAAGATGTCAATTCAGTTGCACTTTGATGAAAATCTGACTTCAGGACATTAATTTGAACCATAGGAAACACCTGGAGGGTAGTGCCTTTTGCTGAGAAACCCACAATCATGCCTGTTGTGTTTCCCAAAACTTATATCTTGTCAGGTCAATCAAACTTAACATACACTGAGGAATCTGAATATCTTTTCTTGAGTCTTGTGGAGTCAAGCCCATGTGCTGTCACAGAGCATCCTTGGCATGACGGCACATCTCTTGCATGGCACAACACACACTCTGTGAATGTTAGATTATTTTAATTTTGATAGTGCATTTGGCATGAGGTTGATTTTTTACAACTGGTGATTCAAATATTGTCACAAAATACTTGAAAATCGATCTTTATGTATCACTAAATTACTTTTCCATAAGTAGTATCCACAAATACAAAATCACTGAATATAAATTTTCAGCTGTAATTTCTGATCTGGTTACATAAATGTTATTTAATTTAAATTAAGCCAAAGTTGGAGCTAAACAGCTTTTCTGTGACCATTTCATCTTTAAGATGAAGTTAAAGATTTGCATTTGAAATACCCCTTGATTGAATTGAAAGTAGCATTTCCAGTTAATGTGTAGCATCCTCTGAATGCCAATGGTCTTTGAGTAAACAGATGAACCTTCATGTCTCTGTTTTAGTTGTTTCAGACTCCACTTCACATCCTCTTGGTAATGCACATGAATGCCAATTCCTGTTTTATATATTTGGGTAGAGGATAGAACATATTAAGAATAACAGATAAGTATTTTTAAATTCCCATGTTATTTTTCTCCTTTACATTCAGTGGATAAGTTCGGGATTCATACATTGCTCCCAGAAATGGCACAAAATTGTGCTATAATAGAACCAAATAACCACATTATTTGCAATTTTGATTTTTTCTCAATAAAAGGTAGTTATTTAGACAGTAATTTCTTAGTCACAATAAAAATTTATAACATAAAGAGCTTTTGTTTCCACATTAGCCACAAAAGAAATAGGGCAGCATTTTATGTATGTGTGTACACATTTAAACACACACACACACAAACTAGACCTTTTCCAGGGTTCAGTGGAGGAAAAATTGTTTTGCATTATTAAGTATAATGTTTTAAAATAGATGAATCAGAAATTTTTACATAGATATAAGACCATTTTGTATGAACACTGCCAATCATGTGCTTTGAGGGATAAATAGGGTAAATGATGGTTAAACAGCAGTCTTTAAAGGGCCATGGACTACTTTTCCCCAAATTTCAGAGCCAGGAGTCCCCAGCAGAGGATCCACGGAGCAGACAAGAAAGAACCTGAAATAACCTTCGGAGGAAAAATTACATGGGCAGTAACATGGGTCAGCCTCTGCCCACTGGAACTCATTTCCAGGCAGACACTACATAGCAATGACATCATTACAACAGTTACATCTAACAAAGCAGTTTTAAAACAAGCACCAAACCACTGGGCATAATTTTCATCATAATCTACAAACTTTACCCTGAACAATGGAGTTTAATCACCAAAAAAATTACATACTAGGGTTCCAGATGATAGGATCACCCGTTATTTAACTTTGCACCACTGTATTTCAGCCTGGGCAACAGAGCAAGACTCTGTCTCAAAAAAAAAAAAAAATGGTGGGCACATTGGCACTTAAAAAAATAAATCAGAAAATAATATGGCTTCAAGTGGACAAATAAATATAAATTTCTAAGGAAGTCTTCGCATTATCTATTGGTTTTCTCTTGATTTGGTTCCATGGATAATTTCTCTCCAAGTTCTCTAATAAGTTCTGCTAGGTCTTGTGTATTCTGAGATTTTTCTTCAAGGAGTTCATAGCGGAGACTTGAGATATCCTGCTTAATTTCTTTCAGTTCCCCTTTGAAAGAAAGAGTGATAAGAAGTCAACTATAATACACAATGCAAAAAAAAAAACAACAAAACTTGTGATTGTGGGACAGGAGGAAATCAGTCCTAATTTCACACACAATTTTATTTTGAATCCTTTCAAAGGAAATAACTTCCTAATGGAGAAGGTGGTTGTTTTCTTAGCTAAATGTTTTGGTGAATGAAGAGATTGTAGCAGAATGATAACAAAAGTCCTCCTAAGGTAAGTTAAAAGAAAACAGTGGTGAAGAATTCAGAGGTTGAGGCAGCAGCACCTTCCTTGCCTTTCCCACCCACTTCCTCCTCCCTCCAAGTCCACCATGAGAATGACAGCTTTTCATCTAGCAAGTAGCAGCTGTCCCCACCTGTGGAGAAAGCCTATTCTCCACTCTTTAACAGAATTGGTGGTTGGTGAGATCCTGTGCTACTTTTCCCCTTGAAGTTCACTCTCCCCACGTGCGTCTCTGCAGCTCTTCCTCCACTCTGCATTAGGTCCCGGTCCTGACTCACATTCAGGGGCTGATTTGTTTCTGTGTTCAACTCACCTTCGTTCACTTCATCACTCTCCTTATCTACCTGGGCCTGCAGTACATATCTTTTAATGAGCCTCTTCATTATTTTCTAGACGGAGAAAGGAGAAATCTATGTCAGTTTGAGGTTGATGACAAAGATCTCATTTGGAACAAGATTCTGAGTCTTCCTCCCTGTAGTCAGCCCTTTGGAAGTGATGGCTATCAAAGACTAAGGTGATTCAGCTGGGATGCATGCGATCTGTACATTTTGCTTTTCTTTCCTTCTTTTTTTTTTTTTTTTTTTTTGAGACAGAATCTCCCTCTGTTGCCAGGCTGGAGTGCAGTGGCATGATGCCAGTTCACTGCAACCTCTGCCTCCCATGTTCAAGCAATTTTCCTGCCTCAGCTTTCCAAGTAGCTAGGACTACAGGAGCATGTCACCATGCCCAGCTAATTTTTGTATTTTTAGTGCAGACAGGGTTTCACCATGTTGACCAGGGTGGTCTCAATCTCTTGACCTCGTGATCTGCCCACCTAGGCCTCTCAAAGTGCTGGGATTACAGGCATGAGCCACTGTGCCTGGCCTTGCTTTTCTTTTAAAGCAGTTCCATATCACCTGGGCTAATGACTCAAAAATGAATTCTTAGAAAAGAATGTTTAAAGAAAACATGTAATTCCTTATGTCCATTTCTTGTACTTTATTTGAAAAGTATTAGAGCAAGAGAGTCTTTTAGTGGGGTTGATGAAAGATGTACATTACCCCTCATGGAAATGGGGAATCTAGCTAATAATGTCCATTCATTTAAGCCCCATGTGTCTGACCAAAAAATGGAACCGGTTTTTATTTTAAACTTTCTATTAATTTTGGAAAGACTAGGTTCAATGTAATAAATTTTTCAAGTACCTTGACTTCTGTCATGCAAACATTGATTTTACTATTTTTTTTTTTTTTTTCATAAAAAGAAGGAATCTTAGTGGGTGCTCAGAAAGTCCTGGATGGATATAGAACTAAACAAAATTTTACACCTAAACCAAGGTTAAACAGTAGATAGTAAGTCCCCACCTTCAAGAATCTATTCTAAAGATATGATTTAGCACATGAACAAGTATGTTCATAGTAGAACTAGTTATATAACAGAAAAAAATGAAACTTTAAATGTCCATCAATAAGGAATTATTTTTAGTAAACTGTCATATATTTATATAAAAGAATCTAATACATTCACTGAAATTAACAGGAATATATATTTTGTGAGAAAAATCACAAGGTAAAAACTATTACTCATTATATACAATTAACTCATTTATATAGTATTATATATGCATTTCATAATATTATTAAGATATATGTAAAATTGCACACATATAGACATATAATCACCTGGCAGAATTTTTACCAACAGCAAGCAGTCTTTGTTTCTCAATGGTGGAGTTTGACATGAATTTTACTCTCTTCTTTATGTTTTTTTCTAAGGTTCGTCTTTTTCATTGAACATGGAGACTCTCAGATCCGATTCCAAGACTATTTTTTTTTAACTGATATCTCTCTAGCACTTACAAAATGCCTGGTACATGGTAGTTGATAAATACTTGTTGAATTAATGCATTATTTGACAGTAAAGAAAATATCCTAATACTTTATTTTCATTTAAATAATCACGTAGTTTAAGAATTTAAATATTACAAATAACAACTCTTATTTCTTTAAAAATCCATGCTTACCTGATACTGTCTTGGCGGATTATTGAAACTATTTAGACGGAAATCTTCTGAGTTCCTTACACTTGCTTGTTTATTGTGCCCAAGCTGTAATTTGAAAATAATTAGAAATGAATTTCCATTTAATTTTTCTTTTAAATAATGTAATGAGATGTTATACAATTATAAATAGTCTCATATACACAAATTATCTATCTGTATACTGCCATTTAACTTGCTTAATATTCTGTCTTCCAAGACAAATCAATGACGCTTTAGGTGTGCTCAGTTTCTTAATGGCTATCAGAGGTTGTCTGAGGAGTCTCTTAGACTTGTGAGTGCCGGTCACGTTGTCATGAGAGTCATGCTTTAATCTTTTCACAGATACATCCTTGGTAAAGAAAGAGTCAAGCAAATTGAAGAAATAATGGTGGTGATCTCAGTAGTTCATTGATGAGGGATCAATGGTGCCACCTGATTAACTAAGACATCCACACCTGCGACATGGTTTGATGTGGTTCCTGAAGAAACACCAGGGTAAGACTGTGGTGGAAAAGAATTCAGTCACCAAAAAATTTCTAATGTTTGAATTTTAGGTACTGCATACTATCCCATTTGGGCAGCACTTTTTAAGTTAAATACATTTACCTGAATAGGCAAATAAGAAAGAATTAAAGCAATCTTCAATAGAGGTGGTAGTATACCATATTAACATGTAGGGGGATGATTTAAAACCTCTTTAATACATTTTCTAAAAAATAATCTAGAAGAACTGAAGTAAAACAAGTAGCTCTCAATTTGCATGTTTATGATACACAGCTGTTTTCTGGAGGAAGAGACACTCGAGATTGTCTTCAAAGATACACAGTGATTTATACTTCCTGGTGACATCTATGGTGCTGCTAAGTAAAGCTCAATGAGACTGAATTAAAATCCTTGTATTAACTTTAATGCTTTGATATTTCAGCCACATATTGAATTAAAACAGCTACTCAGACATTCATCTATTGAGCAAGTATATATTGAGGGTCCTGTGCTAGGCTCTGGGTATAAATGAACATAAGCAATTATGGTATAGCTGAGTTATGGTAATAGCACAATTATGAAAAATATGGCAAGATTACAAGATTGATAAGATTTGTAATACATAAATCTGGAAATGTTATTTATATAGCATCATTTTTCATGTATCGATTTCCTTTTTCTGTTACTCACTCTAAAGATGTAAGTGTCCATATATCTTAACTTATACTGAATTTTAAAATCACTCTGATGAATTATATAATTCATCAGATTAACCAAAGAGAGGCAGTTTAGGTTCTCAAAAAGAGGACTTGAAGCGAACCTAAAGGATAAATACCATCTGGCTTTGCTACAAGCTAGCCATGGAACAGCAGGCAAGATACTTCAACTTTCTACATCCTTGTCTTACAGTGAGGGAAGTGGTCTAGCTAGCTTCTATCATCATTCAACCCCCACTAGTTTATGAATTTGTGAAATGCATAAAAAGTTCCACATAACATTTTAAATAACATAATGGGAACCCTGGCTTTGAAACTATAATTTATGTCTTGAGAACATCATAAAAGGTGAGGACCAAGTGTGAAGCCCACTGAGCACATAATGATAAAGCGTGCAGGTGAGGAGATGCTCATAACCACATGATTCTGATTTATTTGCCATCTATTCAATAACTCACGTTTGACATTTTGAGCTAGATAATTCTTTGGTGTGGGTGGTCTCCTGTGCATTATGAAATGCTTAGCAGCATCCGTGGCATCTAACCTAGGGATTAGATGTCAATCAGAGATCCCACCACCCTCTACTGTGACAACCAAAAATATCTGCTGGTATTATCAAATGCACCAGATTGGGGGTGGAGGGTGCAATCGCTGCTGGTCGAGAACCACTGGTATAGTCAAATGGTATAAAACTAAATATTTATATATCCACAGGGGCATTTTTATATGACTAGTTTTTTTCTAAGTATGAAATACCAAGTTTTGGATACATATATATTTTATTTTCAGAAAAAAAATCTAGTCAGTGTCTAATACATCATAGAAATTCAGTAATTTTTTTTTAAAAAACTGAATACTACAGAGAAGAATAACTTATCCAGTGGTGCAAGGAAGTATTATTACCACTCAGTGGCAGAAAGTGCCATTATTTAATGTCTGGAAATCCAAGTCTGCAAGACTATTGCATATAAAAGAAAGAAAATTCACCTTGAAAACTGAATAGTATTTAAAGCTCAGGGATTTGGATATTTATAGATGGTGCCAACATGTATACTGCCACAAAGACTGGAAGTGGGAAACTTGTTGACTATATGCAAAAAGGACTGGATGCAAGCTTTGTTCCTAATATAGAAATAAACACTCTCTCCAATTCCAAATGAACCATTGCCTGCCCTCTTAGTTAATACCTTTTACCATATTTTATTCATTCTTTATTCGTTTTCTTTTTCTTTTCTTTTTTTTTCTTTCCTTTTTTCTTTTTTTTTTTTTTTTTTTTGAGATGGAGTCTGACTCTGTTGCCAGGCTGGAGTGTAGTGGCATCATCTTAGCTCACTGCAATCTCCACCTCCCAGGTTCAAGTGATTCTCCTGCCTCAGCCTCCCAAGTTGCTGGAATTACAAGCACGCACCACCACACTCAGCTAATTTTTTATATTTTAATAGAGATGGGGTTTCACCAAGTTGGACCATGTTGGCCAGGATGGTCTCTATCTCCTGATCTCACAATCTGCCCACCTCAGCCTCCCAAAGTGCTGGGATTACAGGCATGAGCCACCATGCCCAGCCTCGTTTTCTTTTTCATTTCCTAATAATTAGTTTGATATTAATATTTTAATTTCTCATCATGTAGGTTCATTGTAGGATTAGAGTGAGCAACACTAATAACTTGTTTCTAATTCATTAAAAACAAACAATCTTAAGTCTTTAAAGTTTTTTATATTGCTGGATATAGGAACAGTTCGGGGAGTCTCCTATTTCCTACAAGCATTAAATGTCCTGCAACCAGGAACAGAGCATTGGACTGGAAAGGTATGGACAATAATATTCAGTCAGCAGTACAGATAGGAAATGAAGCTGAATTATACAGTGCTTAAAAACATATTGCTCTGAATTAAGTGGATGTTGATTGAAATTTAGGGTCTGTCACTTGTTTGAAATGGGACTTTAGGCAAATCATTTCATCTCTGTATCCTTAGGATCCTCAGATACACAGTAGAGAAAATAATATTACCTGCCTCCAAGAGCATTGCAGGAATTAAAGAGATGAGGTATAGAGAATATATAGCTTGACACACAGTGGACATTCTATAATTGTCAATACCTATTATTTTATAGAAAGGTAAATATCTACTATGTGGCTTTAGGTCTATTTCACGGTTAACTTTAATCTACACATACCCCTTTACTTATGACGGGGTTATGTCCTGATAGATCCTTTGTAAGTAAGTTGAAAATACACTTAATGCACCTAACTACTGAATATCATAACTTAGCCTAGCCTACCTTAAACATACTCAGGACACTTACCTTAGCTTACAGTTGGCCAAAAGCATCTAGCACAAAGCCTATTTTATATGAACGTTATAAAAATTTGAATCAACATTCAAAATTTGAAGCACAGTTGTTTCTACTGAACATATAGTGATTTCACACCATCATAAAGTTGAAAAATCATTAAGTTGAACTATGGTAGGTCTGGGACTGTCTGTAGTCAATTCATCCTGGAGATATTTCCCCAAATATTACTTTGTACTGATGTGCCGAAGTCCATGACTAAGTCATTCAGGGAATGAAATATTCAGTGATTCCCACATTCAGATGAGCATTAAAATCTCCTAAGCTCTACTCTATTGGGTTTAAAAACCCTCCCTAAGATGACAACTGGAATGTGATCTGTTCAGAAGTTGGAAGATAATCAAGAAGTTATCTGGCATTATCAGGTTTACACATGTAATAGACTATGGAAGAGATCAACTTTTAGTTTATGCTATCCTTTCAGACTGTATATCTCAAAAACTAATGCTAGCAACCACCAAAGTCAGTGACCTTTAGAGTTAAAGGATATGATCAAAGATAATGAATAGGTCCTCTTACCTTGTTTCAAAATTTGTTTTTATATATAGTTCATCCTACTGATATCTATGGTGCACCTGGAGCAGATGTGACAGCTACATTTGTACAGCTAACTAAATACTTTAAAATTCAAGAGGTCAGAGAGAAGACCTGAGTGAAATAGAAACTCACCTAGCATCTTAGATATAGATGTTATGAAAAAGAGTGGGCAAAAGTCATATGAGTTGGGTAAGAAAGAATGAACCATAAGCATTTTTCTTAATATGTATACACTTGACCCAAAGCATCTCATTAGCAATGGGCAAAAATTATTTGAAATATAAATGATTGCCTTAAAAACATTTTATCGGGAATACAGTTTAATGTATAGCGTAAAACCAAGGCATGTGAAATGTGTCTCAAGTTTTGTTCACCACAAGCTCATGTAGCAAGGGAAAATAAATTCTTGTGTTGACTTAACCCTCCAAGAATCAAATGCCAAGACTGAGTTGAAAGTATGAGATGTATCAAGGCTTATTGCCTCTGATAGATAAAGGGTAGTTGGAGCAGGAGAAGACAGAGAAAGCCTCTCCACTGTGAGTCTCTACTCACCTGTGAAAGAGGGAGAGGTAAAATGATTGTGTGGGAAAGTCAGTCCCTCTCTTGGGGAGCAGCACATCTCCATGGCTGCCACAATACACAATTACACAAGAGGCTGTCTAGATTGTTAAACTGATTGGAATCAACATCTTATTCCAAACTTCACAATTGCGGTCAGACATCACAGGTTTAGTACTTCTTCTACAGTTTGTTTTAAGCTATGATTAAAATATGTATTTTCAGATTTTCTGCCAAGATGGCCAAATAGGAACAGCTCTGGTTAGCAGTTCCTAGCGAGAGAGATGCAGAAGGCCGGTGATCTCTGCATTTCCAACTGAGGTAACTGGTTCATCTCATTGGGACTGGTTGGACAGTGGGTGTAATGCAAGGAGAACAAACCGAGGCAGGGTGGGGTGTCGCCTCACCCAGAAAGTGCAAGGGGCCAGAGAACTCCCTTTCCTAGCCAAGGGAAGCCATTAGGGAGTTTTTCTGACACTCTGGCACAGATTCTGCGCTTTTCCCATAGTCTTCACAACCCACAGATGAGGAAATTTCCTCTGGTGCCTACAATACCAGTGTCCCAGGTTTCCAGCACAAAACTGGGCAGCCATTTTAACCACAGCAGTTTTTTTTTTTCTCATACCACAGTGATGCCTGGAACACCAGCAAGATAGAACCACTCACTCCCCTAAAAAGGGGGGCTGAAGACAGGGAGCCAAGTGATCTGGCTCGGTGAATCCAAACCCCATGAAGACCAGCAAGCTAAGATCCACTGGCTTGAAATTCTCAAATGAGCACAGCAGTCTGAGCTGGACCTGAAATACTTAAGCTCAGTGAAGGGAGTGTCCACCATTGCTGAGGCTGAGGTAGGCAGTTTTGACCTTGCCTGTGTAAACATAGTTGCTGGGAAGTTTACACAGCAACTGGGCAGAGCCCATGGGAGCTCAGTGAGGCCTCTGCAGGCAGACTGTGTCACTGGACTCCCCTTTTGCTGGCCAAGGCATCTCTGAAAAAAGGCAACAGCCTGTCAGGGACTTACAAATAGAGCCGCCATCTTCCTGGGACAGAGCACCTGGGAAAAGGGGCAGTTCTGGGTTCCTCTTCAGTAGATTTAAACATCCCCGCCCAGCAACTCTGAAGGAAGCAACAGATATCCCAGAACAGCACTCAAGCTCTGATAATGGACAGACTGCCTCCTCAAGTGGCTCCATGACCCCTGTGTATCCTGACAGGGAGATATCTCCCAGCAGGGGCTGACAGACACCTCAGACAGGAAAGCTATGGCTGGCATCTGGCAGGTATCCTCCTGGGAAGAAGATACCAGAGGAAGGAACAGGTAGAAATACTTGTTGTTCTGCAACCTCCGCTGGTGATTCTCAGGTAAGTAGCATCCGGAGTGGATCTCCAGAAGAACTGCAGAAGAGGGGCCTGTTTGAAGGAAAACCAACAAAAAGAAAGGACGTCCACTCAGAGACCCCATCCAAAGGTCACCAACTTCAAAGACCAAAGGTAGATAAATCCATGAAGATGGGAAGAAACCAGTGCAAAAAGAATGCCTCTTCTCCTCCAAGGGATCACAACTCCTCATCAGCAATGGAACATCACTGGACAGAGAATGAGTTTGAGAAACTGACAGAAGCAGGCTTTAAAATGTGGGTAATAACAAACTTCTCTGAGCTTCTCTTCTTGCATGGTCTAACCCAATGCAAGAAACCTAAGAACATTGAAAGAAGGTTAGACGAAATGGTAACTAGAATAACCGGCTTAGAGAAGAACATAAATGACTTCATGGAGCTGAAATACACAGCACAAGAACTTTGTGACGCATACACAACTTTCAACAACCCAAGTGGAAGAAAAGATATCAGAGATTGAAGATCAACTCAATAAAATAAGAAGGCAAGATATGAGTAAAAAGTAATGAACAAAGCCTCCAGGAAATGTAAATCTATGTTTGATTGGTGTACCTGAAAATGACAGGGAGAATGAATCCAAACTGGAAAACACTCTTCAGGATATTATCCAGGAGAACGTCCCCAACCTAGCAAGGCAGGCCAACATTCAAATTCAGGAAATACAGAGAACACCACAAAGATATTCCTCAAGAAGAGCAACCCCAAGACACATAATCATCAGATTCACCAGGCTTGAAATGCAGGAAAAATGCTAAGGGCAGCCAGAGAGAGAGGCTGGGTTACTCGCAAAAGGAAGCCCTTCAGACTCAGTAGATCTCTCGGCAGAAACCCTAGAAGCCAGAACAGACTGGGGGACAATATTCAACATCCTTAAAGAAAAGAATTTACAACCCAAAATTTCTTATCCAGCCAAAATAAACTTCATAAGTGAAGAAAAAAGAAAATCCTTATGGACAAGCAACTGCTGAGAGATTATGTCACCACCAGTCCTGCCTTACAAGAGCTACTGAAGGAAGCACTAAACATGGAAAGGAACAACCAGTACTAGCCACTGCAAAAAACATACCAAACTGTAAAAACCATTGACACTAAGAAGAAACTGCATCAACTAACGGGCAAAACAACCAGCTAGCATCAAAATGGCAGAATCAAATTCACACATAACAATATTAACCTCAAATGTAAATGGGCTAAATGCCCCAACTAAAAGACACAGACTGGCAAATTAGATAAGGAGTCAAGACTTACTGGTGTGCTCTATTCAGGAGACCTATCTCACGTGCAATGACATACCTAGGCTCAAAACAACAGGATGGAGGAAGATTTACCAAGCAAATGGAGAGCAAAAAAAGCAGGGGTTGCAATCCTGGGCTCTGATAAAACAGATTTTAAACCAACAAAGATCAAAATAGATAAAGATGGGCATTACATATATAATGGTAAAGAGATCAATATAATCAGAAGAGCTAACTATCTTAAATATATATGCACCCAATATAGGAGCACCTAGATATATAAAGCAAGTTCCTAATGACCTACAAAGAGACTTAGGCTCCCACACAATAATAGTGGGAGACTTTAACACCCCATAGTCAATATTGGACAGATCAACGAGACAGAAAATTAACAAGGATATCCAGGACTTGAACTCAGATTGGACCAAGTGGACCTAAAAGACATCTACGGAACTCTCCACCCCAAATCGACAGAATATACATTCTTAGAACCACATCACATTTATTCTAAAATTGACCACATAATTGGAAGTAAATCACTCTTCAGCAAATGCAAAAGAATGGATATCGTAACAGTCTCTCAGATCACAGTGCAATCAAATTAGAACTGTCTTCCTAGTGACTTATTATACATCCTTCATGCTTTCAGCATTTTCTTACTAGAAAAATGTAAGATCCAATTTACAATGACCTATTATTGCAAAAAATTTATTGAAATTTACAACCAAATAACAAAAAGAGCCATTTCTTTATAATATGAGACATTACATTTGCACAGGTAATAAATATTTTAGGATTTGTGGGCCATATATGGCCTCTCTCACATATCCTTCTTTATTTTTTCACAACTTTTTAGAAATGTAATTTTTAAAAATCTCAGTCTGAACAAAAACAGGCTGAAGACTGACTGTGGCAGGAGGGTTATGATTTGTTGACCCCCTACACTACCCAGCCTCCTAACCACTAAACTATCTTTCTAGAGTGAAATGACTTTGGAGCTCTGTTATATAACTTATTTTCCATGTCTTAAATTTCCCTTATCGAAATCATTTTTAAATGCAATCTAGATTCACCTGGATAGTCAAGACAAACATAACTTGTCTAAACAGCAAGAATGTGCCAATTTGCAATGACCCTAATCTGCTGACTCTCTTGGATGACCAGGAATGATTTCTACTTGTCTTCTTGCTTCTTACTCTCAACCCACGTGGCCCCATCACTATGGCTGAGTCCCAGACTGTGGCAGGGCTCACAGAATTCATGCATAGGTCTCTCACCTGCATGCTACCTCCCACTGCAGCCCTTCCCACCTGTAAAACTGTTCTTTGGAAGCTCCTCCCAGTCAAATTTCCTAATTTACTAGGGCTAATGGTTTAGTGTTTCCCTTACCTAAAGCTCTCCTTTTTGTTCTGATTTGTAATGGGTAATGATTGACATGCTAGTAGAAGCAATGGT